AACCTAAATATAATTCCATTTCACTTTTTGCATGTCTCCTATTTGTCATCTTTGCCTTCCTTATCCCAATGTGGAAACTTTGATGTAAAAGGTCATTCTCACATCTCTGATGTGTTGCTTGTCATTTTTGAAAAACAGCTTTCTAACCTTATTCTAAGCCATATTGAGCTATGTACAATTTCCTGAATTAGCATGGTTGCTCTTGTCTCTGTGCATTCTTTCAAATGTTTCCTTTCTCTTAAATGCCATTTCAATCTAACTTCTAATCATCCTCTAGACTTTCAAGACACAACAGAAATAACACCTCCTTGATTCAAGTGCCTCCTCTCTGTTCAAATGTGCCAATTAGAACTCTGGGACATTCTCTATAGCATCTGATGTACAGGTTTGTTGTTTACCTGTTGGCCTCGTTAACTAGACCTCAGGCCCTTTGCCAGCAAGTGCCATGTCTTGTTGTGTGACTATTTCCATCATCTCACTCAAAATCTACATCAAAAGCACTGACCAATATTTGTTGAATGAATGAATTAGAGAGAAAATCAATGGTTACTCTCAGATAATATACAATAGAGGCGGCATTATCTACTGTAATATTAATATTATAAGGGCATCTTACAAATCCTTAAGAAAGACGAATTAAAAAGATGCCCTTTCATATAAGATAAAATGCTAAAAAGCTATATACACATACATATTAAGTTGATCCCTGTCCATTTGACTCCTGGCAGTTTGATTTGTAAGTGTGTTTGCCTTTTAAAATTTAACTAGAGGAGCAGGCCCCATGGCTGAGTGGTTAAGCTTGCATGCTCCGCTTTGGCAACCCAGGTCTTCGCAGGTTTGGATCCTGGGCACGGACATGGCACCGCTCATTAGGCCACGCTGAGGCGGCATCCCACATGACACAACTAGAAGGACCCACAACTAAAAAATATGCAACCATGTACTGGGGAGATTTGGGGAGAAAAAGCAGAAAAAAAAAGAAGATTGGCAAAAGTTGTTAGCTCAGGTGCCAATCTTTAAAAAAAAGCTTTAACTACAGAAGGCATAAATGGGAAGTTCAACATCTAGCACACTGCAGACTCTCGATTAATGTCACATCATAAAGTTTCTTGGATAAGTTTAACAGCTCTTTCATAGAAACCCAAAGGGAAGATCCACAAGAATTGGAGTATACTGCTACATCAGTGTACCATCAATATTCCAAAATGGTGCCATGATGGTGAAAGATCTCTGCCAGTTTATTGGAAGGGAGCATTTGACTTTTACTTGGTTGTTAATTTATGTGCTAAAACATGTTTCCTATTGGTCCCAGTTTTAAGTGAGCGCTGAATAATGCTCTTTTCTTCCAATGGAGACTCTGCTTCTTTAGACATCCACCAAGAAAATACCAGCTACGCTCTCCATTCACAAGGGATTGGCCTTGAGAGTAGGTACCTCACAGAGGGTTTCCTGCAGACACAAAACAATTCCTACAGTCCCAAGTCACATCCTGGCATCTTAGTTTCCTTGTTAGTTCAGTGTAACTTGTTATAGCCTGAGGAAGCCTCATTTTGGTATTCAAGGCCTTTAACAACTCTCTTTAGCGTCTGTTTATCTTTTCAGATGGACATTTTCCTCTAGTTTCATTGAGTAGTAGAAGTCAAAGACAGAGAGAAATTGTACCAGGGCCAAAAAACATTATTTGAATTAGCCCTAACACCAGCTGGCTGTGGTTTAAGGTCAAAATGGGTTAAATCTTCACTCCTTCACTATCTAGCTATATGATTCTGGAAATAGGTGCTAATCCCATTTTCTAGATGAGAAACTGAGTCCCAGATAGGGCAAGAGCCTTGCCTAAAGCTACATAGTTAACAGAGTGGACATTGGATCTAAGTATATATGACATCAAAGACTATGCAATTCTTTTAGCAAATTAATTTTCTCATGCTAGATATCTTTATCTGTAAAATGAGATAAAACGATATATTTCTCATAGTTTTATTGTGACAATAAGAGGTAACATATATATATAGTACTTGACATGCAATAGGCCCACAACAATTGGTAATTATTTTTTATTACATACATTATTATTGTGTGAGAATATTTGACTCATGCTAATACTTTTCATAAAGCCAGTATCTCTTAACTGAGAGTTTCACAGACAACAAAGGGCCCTGGCAGACAAGGACAAGTTGTCACACTCTCCAAACCAAAGTGTCAGTGAACTGAGAGCTGCCGCCTGTCCTTTCAGGGGAGCGTCCTCCTGTGCACTAGGCTGATGGCATTTCTCCTCCATTCAGTGAAAGATATGCTCTAAGACAGGCTTTAATTCTCTAAGTCCTCTTTGAACACTTGGAGCTCCTCAGAGGATGCGGCTGAACTGGATTTGCCTTTTCAACTAGTCAGCGCTGTTCTTAGCATTCATGTTCCCCTCCCAGTGATGGATTTCACATTCCAGACTCAGCTTTCAGCCCCCTGGGTGTGTTGGTGTCAGAACTGTGTTCAGCCATAGCTCACGCACATTCAAAGTGCTTTTCAGCCTGGCTCAGAGGTGTGGAGGCTATGAGATCACTTACCTTATCAAATTTACTCCTTTGGAAATTTGATCTTTTTGAACTATCGTGAAAGATAAAATCAATTCACAGATAGCTTAAAAATTGTATTATTAAAAATACCATGAGGGGTTTTTCCCCCAACATATTATGCGTCTGCTTGGACTAAGAGTCATCTTTTTTTAGCACATGAATACTGTTTTAAAAACTGTTGAGTGATGAGACACTGAACCTCAGAGATGAGAAATAACTTTTTTATTTACTCTCCATCAGCTCCTAATTAGAAGAGTTGAAATTTGATGCCATGACGGTCTGGTCAAAAGCCTATGAGGTCAATTTCTCTGGTATCACAAATTATTGCAAAAGTTTCTTTTAGGATAATTGATTTGTTTCATTATTTAGAATAATGTACTCTCTTTTGCAGGGAGGGGGCATCTCAAAAGTTCATTCATGGCAGAGTCAGAACTAGAACTCAAGACCTCTTCCTGGTCCAATCCACTTACAAGTAACTGCTGAGCACTTTGAGAAACAAAGCATGACTCTCTTTACTATGTCTCACTTTGTTAAATTATGTATAGCATGTGTCACTTGTTTTCTGTACATTAGGAAATGATAAAGAAATAAGTAACAGGGAGCATTTGTGGAGGGCTCCACTGATCACATACTCAGTTAAGTAGTTTGCATGTATTACTTAATTTAATATTCAGGATCTCTGAGGCTTTTTGTTTTTATTTTCCAATTTACATCTGCAAAAACTAAGGATCACAATGATTAATTTATTTCAAGACGCAAAACTAGAGAATGTGATTTGAGGTCCAGTTTGCCTGGCTCCAATGGCCATATTTCTCTACCATGTTATACTGTTTTGAGTTGTATTCCACCCTGACCCCTAGCTTCACCATCACCTTAGCTGACTCCAAATGGCATGTCCTCACTACTTCTTCATTAAGTGGCTCTAAAAGGGATCATTGATACCTTATCTCGCTAAAGCCAGTGGTGTTTATCTATTCTCATCTGACTTAGATTCTCGGTAGTGTTTAAAGACTGTCCACTTCCTCTTGAGTAAGCACTTTGTTTTCTGGGCTCCAACTTACTCACATAGTTTTCCTTCTTCCTCAGTGTCTGGCTCCTCCTCCTCTAACAGATCTCTGTTCTAGGCTTTATTTTCCAGTTACACTCAAGCTCCAGATAATCTCAACCAGTCTCTCTCTCTAGCTCTTTAGCTCTCTATCATACACACTCATTCACACAAATACATACACATATATGTATATAGCTAAACATTCATATGCATACACACACACATATATGTATATCTCCCAAGTGTCTCTCCAAACCAGACCACCTGCTGAACTGCAGATATATACCTAGATATCGGCTCAACATCTGAACTTGTTGCGTAGTTGGAATCTCAAATTTAACAAAATCCCAAGATGAACTCACTATCCACTCATCCCACTTCATAGGCATCACTCCCCAAGACAAAACTATTTGCTCCCATCCACTCAGTTGCTTTAGCCAAAAATTCTAATTTTTCTTGATCCTTTTCTCCCCACCACACTTTTGTTCAATTCATCAGCAAGTCCTCTTGCTCTGTCTGGACTCAGCTGCTATTACAATATCTGCTACAACAGCTTTAATCTAAGCCACCACCACCCCCTCTCTCAGCTCCCTGATATGGGTCTTAACTCTTCTCTCCTCCCCCTTCTTGTTTCCCTATGGTCCATTTTCCATTCAGCAGTTGGATGATTTTTAAAAGGTAAATCTAATAGTGTCACTCTCCTGTTTAAAATCTGTGTCAGTTTTTAATTTATGCATGCTTACACCTACCTCATATATGGAATAATAAACACCATATGAAGTGAGTTCTATTTCATGACAATGTGTGTTCAGTCTCTTAAACACATAGAGTGCAGTTGAGGTTAGGAGCCTCTGTGAGAAGAAGGGGAAGACAAGGTAGGTTAGAAATGTATCTGCTGTGAGTGAGCGCAAATGAAGGTTTAAGAGAGATCCGGGTTTCATGTGGGCAGCTGAAATCAGGATGGCTCCAGAGCCCTGAATGTGACTTTGGGTCAAGTCCATGAGCTTGTTGTTGTACACATTTAAGCCAGGTGTGCAGGTCAGTATAAATCAGCTCAGCGATGGAAGAGCCCGTGACGGTACTTTTAAGCCTGTTGAAATCAATAAACCCAGGGAGTGGGAGTTTCATGTTTCTTCAGGAGCCCCATAGGTCATGTTGTATGGTAGTTAATGGTCTGAGGAATGAGAATGGGAGCTAACGGATTAACTGTTTGATTCTTCATTAACCCAAGAAAACACAGTAAGACACATTTGTCTTCCACACAAAATCATACAAAATTCTCTCTTTATTAAATATACATTATTTACAGTTTGTCTTTCTTCTGTACAACAGTAACCATAGAAAACAAAGAAATCTAAGGCTAACTTTTATTTTTGCCCATACAGTGTATTAAGACATGTTACATGGTCTACAAAACTGACTTGGAACGAGGCAACATCACTTGGGATTCTGTTTTGGGAACAAAAGTGAGAAGGTCAAAAGAAAAAGCTAGACTCTGGCAGATCTACAAAGAAAGGTGACCTGTTTTGTGCTTTTGCCATTATAAAGAGTCTGACATATGTATTTTCTGGGGAGGGGGGGAGGTTATTTTGCATTCTATTGTTTAATTGTTAATAGTTTCCCTATTCTTTCTCGTTCCTCAAAAAAAGAGGACCACTACACACCAGTGAGACTGATTTCCCAACTGAAATGGACATTGTTGTAATGCTCTGTCATAGAGATCAGCAAACTATAGCCTATGGACCAAATATGACCCGCTGTTTTTGAAAATAAAGTTTTATGAAACGCAGCCAAGTCTATCGATCTACATATGGCTGCCTTCCTGCTACAACATTAGAGGTTGCAACAGAGACTGTTTGGTCTGCAAAGCCTAAAATATTGACTATTTGGCCTTCAGAAAAGGTTTGCTGAGTCATTACTTGTCCTATCCTGGAGGCAGACCTTTAGTTCCCCCCAAGCCTGCACTTCTATTCCCAATGACAACTCTGCTCTCTTTTTGCCTCTTCCAGTTGACTGAGGGGAGTTACAGTCCAGGACAGCACAGGATATCAGGATATCATCAACTACCAGATTCAGAAGGAGAAAATTCTTGGTGTTGGACCTCAGTAAGACAAAGTCCCTCTCATGATATATCTATGCTGCTTTAAGCAAGGTTTGGTATTTTTTGCATGAGTATAAGGCAGGACAAGGTAACACAGATTGACGCTGCCATTCAAAGAGAAGAGACTAATAATATTTATGTGAAAGTGGGATGGGTTGATTACAATGGAAAAGTATGACTAGTCAGATGCCCATTAATATTATCTCCTAAATATTAAATATGGGGAGGCCTTCCAAGGGGTGTGCAGTGTTACACAATGCTCCTGTTGCACACCCTGCACCTTGTTCATGTCCTCTGAGGCTACTGGCATCTGAGGTATAGAAGAATATGAAGCTAAGAAAAATACGACCAGAATTTAATCACTAAAACAATCAGCTTCACCTTTGGTCATGGCCTAGGACTACTCGCTTGAGTTTGTTCCGCTATTTTGTAAAGTTTTCCCTGTGTCACTTGGGAGCATTGAAGAGAACAGTGTCCCCACATAGTGTTAGATGATGGGTCCCTGGCAGTACTCACTGTCAGGAATGAAGAGTATCACACCTTCACACCATTATGGCATGCCTGTGGATGGCAGGAACAATGAAGGAGAAAGAAAGATCACTAGACTGATTTCAGGACCTCAGGACTTGCACCCATGGGGGTTCCAATTCATGATAGCGGACCAAGAGAGCATTCTGATAGTCGCTTTTCCTTAAAGTTGTATCTGGGTGCTCAATCTGAGCAGGTTAAATAATTGTGGCAATAGCTTTAAAGCATCTTGGAAAATCCTGATGAGAGATGGTTGAGTAGGATTGGAAAGGGACAAAAATATCATACAAAGGTGAATAAAGAATTCCTCATGCAAAGACCATGATATTGCCTCTTTCCCTAATGTGTAAGATGGTGATCCAAATGCACTACAGAGACTCCTGAGTGAGGAGCCAGGAAGGTGGGAAGAGCTGATGCCATGGATCCTGGTGGAAGCAATGACCCTCCTCCCCTGGGACAGTCACCAGTTGCTGCTAGGCATTCCCTCTTCCTCCCGTACATGTTCCCAGCAGGTGTGGTCCAAACAACAAACTGACTTTTGCCTTAATCCTGGCTTATGTTTGCTCAGCCACTTTGTAGACTGTAACATTATAAAAGACAGACAACTAGCTGACAAAGTACAATATTTCACTAAAAAATGTGCTTTTCTATTCTTCCTCAGAGTACCTCAGAGCAAAATCAGAGAAAAATCAAAAATAGCAAAAGAGTTAAGTAGTAAAACCTTATATAAAGTTTTCAAATATCTGTCAACTCAAAAGAATATATGTCCCTCCCTAATAAACAGATATGTGTGGAGAATGTCCTGAAGAAAGCTTGAATAACAGCCCTATTTTTACAAATTATTTGTGTATGTGTGTGTTTATTCTTTTTATTTTTAATTTTTTCCCTTTAGGAGGTTCCACTATTTGGAATTTGTGAAAGTAGAGATGAAAACTGGGGAGAACCATAATTGCAGACTAGATGGCTTACCAAACAGGAGTATGATTGAGAGGTTGGGAGGAGAGGTTAAGGAGGACTCAGGGACAGTATATGGAAGTAATTCAATTACACTACGTGTCTTTTAAAGAAAGCATTTTAAACTGCATGAGAGACATGAAATAGCACTGTTATCCTCCAAGCATTCTGAAAGATTTGAGTTTGCCTGTACCTTCTTTCATTAACCACTTTTGCATTTGCAGAAACAAGGAAGCTTTGTTATTTATTTGGTCTACTTGTGACCTACAGGACAGTTGAAGACTAAGTATGTCCAAGCCTTTAGGTTAAGGAAAATGAGTATCAGAGTTATACACTGTGTTTCAAATTCTCGTGGCAGGCAGGTGTTAGAATGTAGTTTTGAGGAATTGTAGCTATGGGAGAATTCAAGGAAGCCAGGGTGTTGGTGGACCAACTGTCAAGTCTTTTTATAAGAAAGAACTCAACAGCCTGATTCCTATCTCCCTGTATATCTTGGAGGAGATGCTCTGCTTGTGGCCTCCCAAAGTGGCTCTGCTAACTGAATGAGCTTCCTGCAGAGAACAGACATGTGTGACTTTCAGGATTGGAAAAATTCACCCAGAGCACACAGGTGAGACCTCACTTCAGTGGATGACACCTTTTAGTCAATTATTTACTCAAAATATGCTTCATCTAGTTCTAAAAGATCTTCCTAAACAGAGTCAAAATTGTTCATCAGGACAAAGGACGGTTTTAGGAGGAGCTGGAATACAACAAAGAGCTTAAGGAATGTCTGGAAGAAAAATGACATGGCATTTTAACAATAGATGGAAAACAACAGATGGTCAACAATAGATGGCAAAAAAATAACTGAGAAAAGAAGAAGAGCAGAAGGGGAGATTGTTGTTTCCTACCCCAAAGAGAGTCCCCAAATCGTCACTTAGGTCTGACTGATGAGAAGGAGGATTTTCAGAATCCCCCAACCAGAATTGAAGCAATAATGGAGAGAATTCAGCTTCTTAAAAAGTACTTTAGAACATTTACTCTTGCTCCCCCTAAAGAGTCAATTCATCTCCCTCTAAAGAAATATATCTGCATAGATAGATATTTGCCTTGAGAAGGATAAACAAAGCAGCCTGTTGAAGGTGGAAGCAATAAACAAGAAAAAAATCATATTTTCCAGAAATTCATCTTTTTCTTGTCTCTTATCTTATTATCTTGTCTCAAACAAGGGCCTTATAGAAATACTTGAGGAGGACCTTTGCTCTACTTTCTATAGCATGTTATGCATATCCCTATTAAACAATATATGCCTCGCTTGCTAGACTTGGAGCTCCCCAAGGGTAAGAACAAGGTGTAACTTATATTTGCACACCAACATCTGTAACAACCCTTGGAACACTGGGCTTTCAATAAATACTTCATGAATGAATAAAGAAAGAATGATCTATTTCATTTGTTCTGATCCTGCTCCTGTTACTTTGTGGTAGGAAAAGATCTGACAAAAAGTGGAGGTCAGGTTAGTACCGTCTCTGTTATTAGTAAAGAGAACAAAATATGTTTTAAAAAAATCAGCCCTAGGATCCTTAAAATGAATCTCCTGTATGCAGTTGAGAATGAATAGAAGAGGCTAAGCTATCCATAAAAATATATCTAGAGAAGTGACAAATGTCAAATGCTCTAGAAGAATTCTCATTGAAACCACAGCAATCTAACCTATACAGACAATGAACAATGCAGCAGGTGTTAAATATATTTTAAGGTAAGTAAATATACTGTTGCCTGCATAAATAGATTGTTTGGTGGAAATGATATCAATGAAACAGCCCCCTTAGAATTCGAAATTGTACATTTTTTTTTTTTGGTTTTACTGTAAAGTGACCACAATCCATAAAGTCCTTTTGTAAACAGCAGTTATCAAAAACTGAGGGTTAAAGTGGAGGATTATGGTGATCCTGCTAGCCAGAGCATGCAGTCAGGAAAGCTGACTACTGAAGCAGAAAACGATGATTAAAGAGGGAATAGAATGCTCTCAAAGACTATTTGTTTTAGATTATAATTGTTCAAGTATTGAAACTCACATAATTGAACAGTTGAAAACCGTTGGATTTCGGTACTACTGAGGAAAGACCAGCAGTTTGTACTTATTTCTAATTGAAAATTGTGTTTTCCTTTGGAGGGAGCAGATTGCTTGCTTTTCACACACATCTAGTGAAAGTGAGCGTATTCTCTGGGGTTACGACATAATCCAACCCTGTAAAAATAATTCTGACTTAGCCCTGAGACTCTACTTACAGGAATGACATGCAGATTGCACTGTCTTGGCATTTGTCTTTAGGTCTATGAAACGTAGTGTGTGTGTATGTACAGTCTACATATGCGGGGAGGTATGCTGGAGATTCTATAGTCCAGATGCGGCAAGGATGGAGCTTCTTCACCCTACAGAACTACCTATGAGCATAGAGAAGTAGGTGAGGAAAGCAAATACTTTAAGCTGGCCTTTGCTAGTCCTCCACTTTTTCCATCAGCACTCTGTCAGCAAAATATAGTCCTTGCTTCTCAGAGACTTGAAAAATGAGCAGCTCCAGCTTTATTACTCACATCTTCCTTTTCCTTTCCATTTCATTATGGGAGATGCTTCAGGCTAAACCAACTAGACTTCATGGTGACTTTTATTTCAGGGGACAAAGGACTACGTAGCCAAGCAAAAGGCTGATTTATAAAGCCTTTTTATGGAAACAGAAAATTCAAAAGTGAAAATTAGGAATAGGGGCGAACAGGACAGGAGAAAACAGCATTTAAAGATCTTTACTCTTATTAATGGATCATTTATCTTATTAAAGCGAGAAGAAGGAAAAAAGATGCTCTTGTTAGAATCACTTTAAAATAAATTTACTAACAAAATGATATAATGGAAATGATGAAGTGATTAACTAAGAAT